AAGGCGCTTGCTGTCGAGCCCGTGGAGTGGCAGCAGGATGCCCACCCCACGGACGTACCGGTGCTTGGCTGTCACGGCACTCCAGCCCGCGGGAGCCAGGACGTGGGGCCACGTCTTCACTGGAGCTTTTCGGCAGTCTGACGTGGCTGGCGTTCAACAGGGAGCAGATGTTCCAGCCACCGTGTTCCTGCAGGCCTCGACGCTGGCCCGAGCTGCACGTCCCACCGACGGGTAGTGAAACCAGCTCTTGGTTTCTCTGCTGCAGGACATTCGCTGGTGGCTTCACAGTTCTGCCCAAAATGCTTCATTTTTGCCGTCTCGGAGGTGCGTGGCTTTGTGTAGCCTTCCCTTCCCACGCGGAAGGTGCCATGCAGCTCCGTGTGCCACCGCTTCCCGTGTCCTCCCCGCTCCGTGCATTTGCCTTAAAGGAAGGTGGGTTCCCTGCAAAAATGCCACCCGTGGCTGCTGTATTGCCACACAGGGTTTCCTGCATGCCCAGACACATTAGGTGGCAGGTGACTGGGGAGCGCAGAGCGCTCTCCAAAGGGGCCGCGCGTAGCAGCGTGGCACTGGCGTGGGGCCGGGAACGAACGTTCTGCCCATGAGTGCAGCGACGCTGCTTGGGCATCCAGAGCCGGCGCCTGCGGCACGCAGGGCGCTGCGCTCACGCTGGTTGTACCTGCATGAGCAACGGGGTCTCTGCAAGAGCCTGTGACGTTACTGCCCGAAACGTTGTAGAGCAGCCCCCGGCGCATGGCCAGAGGCTGCTGGATTGCAGGCAGCCCTTCTCCCTGCTCAGCATGAGACCTGTTTTGAAAGCGTTGGCGTACAGTAGCCTTGTTGCAAAATTCAGCGAGGTATGTCTACAAACACACTAAGAATTAATGAAAACTTACTTCTAGTATTTTGGGAGTCACATGCTGAAGAAGTGTGGTATTCGGTGTCAAGTGCCAAGGAAATGGATGAGGTGCAGCAAAAGGAATTTTACTTTCTTTATGTATCATTATAAAGTTATCCAAAAGTTCAACAGGTCAAAGCCACGTGGAAGATCAAGAAATGGTAGAAGGAGTAGAAGTGGTTTAGCAGGAGAGCGTGGAAGAGACGTTCTTATTGGAGACAATCGTCTTTTATTATCATTATTGGACTAATTTCTTGGAGTTGCCAACAAGTAACATTTGGTTGAATGCCACAACGAACAACAAATACCACATCATAGGAACAAACATTGCTGTTTCCTAGAAGTTTTAATAGTCTTTATATAACTTTTTCTGAAGTTCAAAATGCCTCATTTCCTGAACAGCTGGTCCTGTTTTCAGTAATCACTGGAACATTTTTGCATGTTCAGATATGCATTGATATATTCTAAACTACATTAAAATGCTTTTCAACTTATTTTTCAAGTGTTCTTTTTAGCCACCTCTATGTTGAAGCTTTTAGGCAATGTTTAACGTAGCCTGGTTGTAGGTAACCCTGGACAGTTCTGAATTCCTATTTAGGAAAACAGCTCCTTGCTTTAGCAGCAAGGTTGTACTCTCTTTGCTTGACAATTCAATGAAAATTAGGCTTTCATTATCACATACTCACTAATGTCTAGAACAGTGAAGATTAAGAGTACATAGCAAACTAGCTTTTTGGAGAAGTGTCAGGCTTTCAAAAGGTTGGCCTTTTTGTTGTTGCTCATAGTTGTTTGGCTTTTGTTTGTTTGTTTTACAAAAATAAAACACATCCAGGTGTTCTTTGATGTGAAGATTGGAGACAGAGACGTGGGCAGAATTGTCATTGGATTGTTCGGAAAAGTTGTCCCGAAGACAGTGGAGAATTTCATTGTGCTGGCGACTGGAGAAGTACGTCTGTGGTTTCCTTCCACTGTGTATTCAGGTTTGGCCTGGGAAATAAATATTTGTTAATGCTGTTTCAAGTGTGAACTGCCCATCTCAATTTAATGGAATCAGTGAGGGAGAGCGCCGTCCAGAGGCCGAGTTGTCTGGTGTATTTTCCTAAACCCTTGCAGCTTTATTTGAAAAATAGGATGAGGTTGGACACCGCCACCTCAGCGCAAGTACTGCCACCAGTACATTGGTCAGATGAAGATACTTGTATTTTTTCCAACTGAATAATAAATAACCTGCTCTGTGGCAGCTGAGCCCAGCAGCACCCACCTGCATTTCAGTTTGTTTCCTGTCAGTGTTTGTCTCATGCTGTGAGACCTGACCTCTCACAGCATGTGTGTATTCCCATATGACAGTGTAGGACTGGATGCTGTAGTCACAAAAAAAACTTTTTTTTTTTTTTTTTAAAGAGAGGATATGGATACAAAGGAAGCACATTCCATCGTGTGATCAAGGACTTCATGATTCAAGGAGGAGACTTTACAGCTGGAGATGGATCAGGAGGTAACATGCTCAGTATCTTCCAGCTTCCCTTTCTGTTACAGCTTTGAGTGTTTACTGAAAAGACCAGTGGAATTGCGTTGCCTTTCTTTCAACTAAAATAAATGAGGAAAACATTTGTTTTAGAAGCATCTAAATCAGTTCTAGGCATCCTGTTGTGTTAGGTGCAAAAATTTGAATTAGCAGGTTATTTGTAGGCCTAGGGCTTCCCCTCTCCTCAGTTCTTGCAGACCTTTCCTGCCTGTTTCTGCCGTGCTCTCTGCACCTCTGCTCCTACCCCTGGTGCTCTAGCACTGATGTGCGAGCCAGTCCGAGGGACCTAGTGGAAACTAACCTGGACGCCAGCGGTGGCACGTGCGAGTGGAGGGAAGGCAAGCTCCAGGGCGTAGGCCCTTTCGTCCACCCGGTTCCGCGCAGCTCTCTGAAGTGTGCTAAGGAAAGCAATTTCAAAACCACCCTAGAGAAATTACAGAATGAGGCTCATGCCGCTCCCCTTCTTTTCTCTTCCCAAATTTGAAACCGTGAAGGTACCTTGTGATGCGAGGCTTTACGCTGCGCGCTCGGGGGCGGCCGCGCTGCTCGCGTCGCCGCGGTGCCCGCTGGCGCCCTCGGCCTGCGCCTCCTTCACAGCCGCCTGCTTGGGGCGCTGCCTCGTGAGCCTGCCATGCAGCGTTCCCGAGTCCCCCTCGGGGACAGAACGGAAACCTGAGCAGCTCGTGTTTCCTTGCAGTTTGAGCAGTGGGGAAGGCTAAAACCCTGAGGACCCAGGCTAGCGTTAAAGGTAGGCGGTGTTTGTGTGCCTGCGGATAGTGTTCGTTGGGGTAGCGCCTGCGCGTGTGCCGTGTGTTGTTAGTCACCGTACAAGTGAGGAAAGGGGCAGCCTTCCCTTCTCAAAGTCACGGTGGTTTAAAGATGACTCTCATGGTTTTTCTTCTTCTAAACGGTTTTAGGAATATCAAAATCCATGTGTAATATTTATATAGTTCCACACTGGCTCTTTTAAGCTAACTTTCATGTGGTCTCTGTATCTCCAAATGTGTCTAAAGCAATTTTTATATACTAGGGGAGATAGTTATAAAATTGAATATTAAAATTGTCACAAAGCTTAAGAAATAAGCATTCTTATTTGAATGGCCACATTCCCCAATTTAAATTCACTGAAAAGGACACAATATCTGGTGGTGTATGTAAGCAGGACCTTTGATGAAACGCAACTGATTAAACTCAAAGGCCAAAGGATGATCAACTTGAAATATTCTGTAATAACAGCTGCTGTTTTTGCTTTCCTTTTTCTCTCCTCTACATAAAAATACTTCTAGTGAGAGATCACTGATGGTGTAGCAATGGTGGCCCTGCTTTTATTCAACCTCTGAATCATCTCAAGTCCTGATTTATACTTATTTGTTTCCAATTTTGAACAAAAATGGAATATCTTACAAAAGTTCACTCTTTTGTACCACAGGAAGGAGTATCTATGGAGAGAGATTTCCAGATGAGAACTTCAAACTTAAGCATTATGGAATTGGATGGGTTAGCATGGCTAATTCTGGCCCAGATACTAACGGATCCCAATTCTTCATCAGTGTGACAAAGCCTTCCTGGTTGAATGGAAAACATGTAGTATTTGGCAAAGTTCTTGATGGAATGGTAAGTGTAAAAAAATGATGGTTAAGACTACTCCAGGTGAACCAGGACCAGTTTCAGGGCATTGTATCTGTGTGGGTATAATCTATCATGCCATTGTCATTCAAAACTACTTCTTGTCTAATGTGGACAAGGTAGAAAGTGCGTGTGAGGTGCTTAAACCGGAACTAAAAATGCAAGCGGTGATTACAGAAATGGAAACTTAAATAATCTGTTTTTCAGATTTCTTGCTTTAGACCACTAACCATCAAAACAAACACCTTTGCAAACTACAAATTGAATAATTTCAGATCCCTCTTTCACTAACCCTTTTAACCACGAAATAACTGTGATTACTCAAACTAAAATTAACTTTGTAACATAACACCAGTTGTGGGTGACACTTCCACTGTTTGGGCTTTCAGAATATGTGAGTATGGAGTATACATGAACATATAAATTCAAGTATGTTTAAAAAGAAAAAAAATATACCCAGCATCCTTGGACTGTACAGCTGCAACACTGAACCAGTATGTGACCAACAGAATTTCAGTTTAAGAAGCAGTTCCTCTGAAAGACTGTACTTCTACTAATCTCTTGTTTCCTTTAACTTTTTCCCTTAATCGGTTTTGAAATGAATGGGGAAAATATGACTGCTTGCATTGATCAAATCCATGTAGAGTTTGAAAACCTCATCAAAACATACCTTCCTTGCCCCACATCCTTCATATTGAATTCAATTCTCATCAGCTACTCTACTAATAAAAACATTTTGAGGAGTTTTAGGCTGATTTCAGTATATTAATTGGCAATTAGCTATAGCCAGATACTAGAGAGCATGGTGTCCACTCTGAATATCTGCGCATAAATAGAGGAGTCATCAGGCTTTTGTAGAAAGCATAATGGTGCTGAATGATCAGAAAAATACTACTATTTGCTGAGTGGAAGGTTTGAAGAAGGCCACACAGCCTTCCATGTTGGTGCTGTCACCTGTGTGCAAGCTGCAGAATGGTACAGCTGATAGCAGGGACTTGGCCTGGTAAAGCTCTGTGTTAGAAGGTTCCTTATAAATAAATAATGCTAATAACACACTTATTTACCTGGTAAATGGACTTGAGTCACTGAGGCATTTTCTTGGCTAAACTGAGGGGTTTTTTTTAAACAGTCTGTGGTGCACTCGATAGAGCTTCAGCAGACAGATGAACACGATCGCCCCCTTCAAGACTGTGTGATTGTGAACAGTGGCAGAGTATCTGTGAAGGAACCATTTGTGGTTGAAGTGGATGACTGGTGAAACCAACAAGAATGGGAAATTAAATGTAATCATTTTTCTTCTAGGCCTAAGTTTTTGACTGATCTCAGTTATCCGTTGACTTTTCTCCTCAAAACATGTATGTAGACAATATTTAATATTTCCAAAAACATTGAATTATGGCTATTCCTTTACAATTTCTTGGAAGTTTTACTCTTCAAAGTTTAGGGTATATCCCACTAAATCATAGAACTTGCAGAAAAATTCTTACATGAAGAATTCTGAAATATTTCTGTTCTTTATAAGATTTGAAATGGAGTCAATTGGTCTTCTTTAGAAATTTTAAAATATTTCTTACTCATTTTATTTGAAAACATTTTTTGTGATAATATCTACTTTTTAAAGATTCCTGTAAAAAAGTAAAATATTTTAATGTTTGGAAATAAAAAACCTATTGATTTCAAATAAATACTTAGTAAAGATATATATATATTTTTTTTTTCAAAAGGGCTTTTCTTCTAATTGATTCAGTAAATGATGCTGGGATGCTGCTTTCCAACATCAAAGAGCAGGGGTGGTAAATTTCATTTCCTTAATGTGTCAGATAAAGTCCTTGCTGTCTTTCAATAAAAGATTGTATTAAGATAAACTACTGTAAATGAGACAGAGCAGCTTAGTTTTTGTTAAATAAGGTCATTGGTTAGAACCTGATTTAAAAAGCCCTTGTTTTAAAGCACAATGGATTTTATAATTCATAACTTACTAACAATATAATCTAAGATACAGTTCCGAAACACTAAATACAAACTTTTGCTGCATGCTAGACCTGCATGTTTAACTTCATTATTTTTGTAAAGCTACTTAAATACCCTTAAACTTAACTGAGCTTTTAAGTAAGTTCAGTATAAGATCCCCTTTAGCTATACTACCTTTTTTTAACATGTTAATGCTTTCCAAGAAAGAGCGCTGCTTCTGCTGGGTCAGCAGAAGAGGCCCCGGGTCGTTGGATGAAGGTCTAGTACCAACACTTTTTGCAAAGGCTCCTCAAGAATTACTCTCCTCTTGAAGCCAGAGGAATGGAGAAAGCCTCCAAATTCTCCTAGTGCTAGGGAATCGGCTTCCGTTCAACCCCTGTTACGGTTGTGCTGTGTAGTTTTTTTTCCCTACCAATGCTCACAGTAAAAAGTCACTAAAAAGCTGCACGGAGAAGCAGTGTTTGCAAATGAAAGCAAGAATGCCTTGTTCTCCCTCATCCAAATAGTTTTGCACTTGCAGCTAACACCACTTTCCTGGAGGTTGATCCCTCAGATGGTAGAGAAAGTTCCACCACCTGAACAAGGACTTACTGTAAACCCAGACATCCTTTCTAAGAAAGCCCCCACTTTTCACCCACCCGGAGCAGCTTTAAAGCAAATTACATAGGCCGGAGGTGGCAACTCTTGCTTCTCCAAGATCAGATTTGTGTTAATGTCCAGCTTTGCCATTACTATTTCTGCGCAGCATTCTCTTCCTTCCTCTTGTAATGCAACAAATTACTGGCTATCCAGCTACACTGAAAAGGTATTTTTCTTTTTTTCCTAAGACATACAATTTTATAAATCTTCAGATACCATGAAGCTAAGAGTTTTGAATGAGTAGACACCCAAGTATTTTCTCATGCTTCACGTGGACATGTACCACCTCTGATGGCACAAGCTCTAAGAACTGCCTTACTTCAACAGATAAGGACACAAAGTACATTCATGCTGTGGTACTTTATTTTTTAATGTCCAGTAACACAAAAAAATCCAGTTAAATCTGAACATATATATATATATCCATTTTTAGTTTGTTACTTTACTACTTAATCATATTCTTGCTTCATCTCACCACAAAGTCATATGCACTGATTCATAAAATATTAAGATATGGAATACAGTCTAAGAGTTGATGCAAAGAGTAAACACACACACTTTAGTTGTCATAACTGAATGAGATTCATAAATGCCATGTAAGATCTGGTAGATAAAATCCTTCAGACTGAAATCCAGTCAACTTCCTGGAAGACAGCTATGTACTTAAAAACATAAAAGCATGTTTTCTAACAGAAACCCTCCATATACATGTGTTGGCTGTTTTCCAACCTAATATTAAGGAGCAGTTTTAAAATAACTTAAGAAAAATGAACAAAATACTTTAAAGTTACTTTCCATTTCTTCTTGCTTTTAAAATGACTTTCTTTGCAATCTCTCAGATACTGTCTTTAGTGCTAGCACTTTCAATCCATCCACTGCCTGCAATGGATGATGTGCTGGGAAAATTCCTGGTGCAAAAAGGTTTAGTGTAATTTATGACAAAAATCCAGAAATAATTAGTAAAACTTTCAATTCTTTTTGAACATTTAGTGTAATTCAGTGTATGACTTTAAGCTTTTAGTGTTAAATAGTTAGACCACATCTATATGTAAGATTTAAATAACTTCAATACAGTTGTTTCCATATCTTTTTTTTTTTTAAAGCAGCAGTTATGACATTGACTTTTTAAAAAAAGCATAATGCTTGAACTTAAACTGAGGCTGTCTCTCTTCCTTCTGAGCATAATTATCACATCCCAGAATTCTTCTCATTAATTCCATTGAGCATGACTTGAAGGCTTGCTTTAGCTTCTTCTAATGACATGCCACTTCTACCTGGGCAGTAGATGAGGATAAAATATTCCATGCAGAATGCCTTCTATAACAACATTTGGAAAGTCATCTGAAAGAAAAACAAACAAATGAAATAACAAAACAAAACAAAACTCACTTCCTTATCTACGTCAATGCAATATAAATGTTTTTGTGGAACTTAACGAGGCAAGGCCTGGCATAATTTAGGTTACTGCATCACTCAACGGTTTATCCGTGTTGGGGATATGCTATTAGTAATGCTGTTTCAGCACTAAAGCCACTTTAGTACAGCACTGGGCATTGCATGAATGCGCTGCCAGATTTGTAGCTTATTGATTTAAAAGGATGTTCTAATACTTAATGCTGCTAGGCTCCAGCCCTTTATCTGAATCTTTTCTCACAAGGAAGATGGATTACACTGGCAATTCAATTTCTAACAAAATCTCAATATACTTGAAGGAATTCCAAGATTGCTACTGGGAATACTTCAGAGCTGTTTTTCCACTGTGGTTAGACTGAGCAGACTTAAGGATGCCTATACCATCAGCTATGATTATTTGGGACAGGAGAATTTTAGGCCAATCAACATAAAATGTCATATATGTTACATAAAATCATCCTACAATATCTGAAGGAGAAAAAACCCCACTATACCACAGATGTAGCAGAAACTCCCACTTACTTTTCATTTTTAATTTACCATGAAAGGAAAGGAAAGACAGCAATAGATCCACATAGAAGGCAAGCAGGAAGCACATTACTGAAGAGATAACATTTTTCAAATGCACTAACTCCTGCCTTCTTAGTGAAGGGGTTACTTTAATCACTAGGCATTAGGATTAAAAATTTCTGAACTTATATTCCGATCTTAAAATAACCACAGAAGTAGGTTTGCCTAGAAGATTATATATATCGGAATAAACAGACTGGAACTCATACAGAACTTTCCACTCCAATCTCATCTTTCCTTCAGCTACCAGCCTGCAGGAGAGTTCAAGTGAGACACAGCTTCCGTTAAAATCGTAAGATATTTGATAAACTGAATCACTTAGTACGACTGGGAATTTGCTTTTGCTCCTAGTCCTTTGGTAAGATCACTTTGAAGGTAAAAACATTGAGCCAGAAGTAGGTAAGAAAAAAAAAATCCCACTGTTTTAAGGACATTAAAATTAGCAGGTATTAATAAGGTGATTCTATGACTTTAAAGATTTTACAGAGAGATTAAGGCTGTTGTTCTGACCAAATATCCACCATAAACTACACATGTATAATTTGCCACAACTTCTGATAGTTAAGTTGTTGTTATAAATTACTCATTAATATTTTGAATCCAATAGTGATTTTTGAAGTCCTGTAAGCTCAGCTAACCCAAATCACACTACTAGACTAACCCTACACTACTGCCATTAGTAGTATGAAAAATACACTTTGTAAGAGCAATCTGATGGTTTCATGCTAAATTAAATGCTGAAGTTTCAGAAACCTGTTCTTATTGGTTGATCTGTAATATGTAGGACAAACTATGTATGGGAAAATTAATATTGATTAAAAAAAGATACAAGTTTACCGCATCGGATTTATTGTGCAGCTTTGTTGCTTAAAATTCAAGCCTATTAATTTAATTTTAACATGCAAGTACACTGAAACACAGTTTCACAGATCCCTTGTATATATATACATATATATAAAGAATCACCAGAACAGTTTTCAAACAAGAGACAGGAAATCTGAGATTTCATTACTCAGCTCATGAAACATCGTTTTAGGTTTTTCCTTCAAAACAGGATGCAGTCGTCCTTTGCATTTCATTCAAGGGACGTGCGCACACACAGAAGATGCACACAGTTGTAACAGAAAAAGTGAGTCTGCATGATAAATGATTATTCAATGATATTTATAAATGTAAATGTTATTTTTGAAAAAAATCTGTTGTAACACAGCAATGCTAAGGTAATGGCAGCGTAGTATTTTATACAGATACATAAGAGTATAACAAGGAAATAAAATTAATTCTTTAAGTATTATGTCACAGAAAGTTTTTCTTTTTCTCTTATTACGAACCCCCATAATTACACAATTTCCTACTTTATTGGAAAATTTAAAACAAGCATTCCTACATGCAGAAAAGTAATTCCACTTCTGATTTAACAACTGTCATAATTCAACTTTTTCAAAGAGCAAATGCAATGAATGGCTATTTGATAATGAACATGTGCTTTTGGTCATCGTTTGAACAACCATGACTATTTTTTTTAAAAGGAACTGCAAGCTATCAAAGTCTGTCAGATAAAATTTTAGAAAGTTCATTTATGTTTGTGCTGTGAACTGAGAGAAAAAAAAAAAGCAATATTCAACCTAATAAAATTCAAGGCAGATTAAAAACTTTGTTTTTTATTACCAGACTGAGCCAACACAGAACAACATCTATGCTTGCGGCTAGATTCTTCCCTCTCCTTTTTCTTTTAAGATTAAAATTAACATTTTGTTTTGTATTAATTCAAAATAGGTTAAAAAAAAAACTTGCAAGTGAGCTTGTTTTTCTTAGAGTCTTCTGAAAACAAGGAAGAATATTCACCTGCTGCATGAAATTCTAAATACCATGCATACAAGCCAAAAGAAGCCTTAGCAAAGGCATGAGAAGTCCTTTGTTCAAGATGGTTAAATATTAAATAACCTTACTTAATGACATGACACACGTTACAAGTAGCATTTACCTTCGATCCAAAGCAAAGCACGGCTTAAAAGGTGCAGTTACAAAATTCATTATATAATGAATTAAATAAGGAAGTTTAGCCATGCTCAGAATACACATTAAAGAAGGACGAAATACTGTCACAGAACTGCCAAATCTTGAGAAGAAGCCATAGCAGCAAAACCTGATGCGTGTTTTGGATACCTTCAGTGCTAGTTTTGTCTTTCTGAACAGCTGTATGTGAAATGCATTTTGTCTTTCTCGGGAATAGTCGGAAATGAGATTATGTTGACCCACTCTAGGGATCCAAGTTTGTAATTAGAAGGGGTCTCCTTGAACTCTGTGGAGACACACAGTGATGCTAACGCTAAATATTAGCGACACAAGGGAGTACAAACTTCTGTACAGAGCTAACTGTGCAGCGTGGCTACATGGGTGCAGTTAGCAGGGGTCAGCAGGGACCTTGTGAGGTGTCTCTTCCCACCGTCTCCGCCCGCTGCTTTGGCCTTGTGCTTTGACCTCCTGCCTCCAGCGGCATTCAGCCATCCCGCCAGGCTACAGCTTGTCCAAGGTGTAAAAACAAGCGAGCAAAGGAAGACCTGGAGCGCACCTCGTGTGGACCACGGTGATGCAGGACCTCTGCACTGACTCTACACGTGGCACCTCGAGCGGAGGAGGACACTCTGGCTTGACCCTATTGGGCCTATTTGCTAGTGTGGACAACACTAGCAGCAGAGACCAACCTCAAAACACATGCCAATATCTGCTACTTTAAAGAAAAGCTTGCAAATGTGAAGTACATGTCACTGGCTCAAAAACTACAAGCAAACACCCATCCTCTCAACAAATTACCTCCTGAAGTGCCATGACTTTCACGACAACTCAAGAATCTGACTCTTGACTTCTACCCACAGCATTTTGTAAAATCAAGCACATTTAAAAGTCTTAAGGTTCTGGGAGAAAATGCTCATATGGAATTGTATTCAGACATATAAAAAAATAAAAATGAAAACATTTTTAACAGTAAATGTAGTAGAAATAATAGTTCTATCAAGTAAAATGAAAAAAAAAACAGGTAGAAAGCACTACTAGTAATATTTCTTTCTTCCCATATTTAATGCAAGTAAGAAGACAGAATAAGCTCTCTGAATTAATAATACAAAGACAGGAGAACTTTAAAAAAAAAAAAAAAAAAAGACGAAAGGTTGATAAGCTATTTCAAACACTCTTTTGAAGCACGTATTATAAGAACAAATCTCCAGTGGACACATCAATTACACTTAAAGTATACATTCTTCTTTTTCTAAAGTGTTCTCAAGGTTATAAACGATAAGAAATAGTAATAATTGAAATGGAAATACAAACATGCTCACACTAAATCCACTGGTGTTTAGGGAAAAAGCACTTACAAAGGACTGGGCCTCTTAGTTCAAATGCTTCAGGCAAAACAGCCCAAAGGGTCAACAACAAAAAAAGAAAAGCAATGTTCTTTGGCTTTTGATTTCTCAGTAGATTTGACCAAGAAAACAAGTGGGGGGAAAAATTCCATCCTTTTATAAATCATCCATCCCACTTAGGTGTTTTAACAGTCTCTTACCTAAGAACTATTGCTTTATTGACAGGTTATTAGATTTTGGACTGGTGTTGTTTGAGTAGGCCTGTATTAATAATAACGTGGTTTATGTGGTGCAGGGTCAGATCAGTAAAGTGCTGTTAACAGATGACAGGTTTGATTACCGTTGGCTTTAGGCAAGACATATGGATCCCTTAGGAACAGCAGCACAGGCTGGTGGGACAGTTTGCTGGAAAGGTCAAGAACAGTGATGTCAGTATCAAGGGACAGTAAAACAGAATATTCTACAAACTAGCTTTGATAAAGCGACGCGGTCAAGCTGCTCGCGAGCAGCGTCAGCAGGTTCCGGCACGTCGGGGCTGTCCAGAGG